CGGTATCGGCAGATATCCAAATTTATGATATCGGTATCGGTATCGGACATAAAAAAGTGGTATCGTGCCATCTCTAGTTTAGACTGTTCCTCCCATTCAGAAATATGACAGCAAAATATTTTCAGGAAACTCCCTCACATCCTACTTTTTTCCCACTGGCCCCTTTATAAGAGAGTGGAAAGAGAAAGTAAGCACACACATACTTAATCACAAGGAAGTCACAGGGCAGTTGAAACAAGCGAAAGCAGACTGAAGATGGAAGGTGAGCACTGCTTATTGTGTTCTTTACCAATTTTAACAAACACTACACATTTTCAAAACAGGTTGTAAACATTTAGCTCCTCTTTCAAAAGGAATTCCCCATCTTGAGACAGTTCAGACTCTTGACTCAGTGTCTTCATAGCTTTGCTGTTCAGAGCTTTTATTGATTTTATACACTCCTGATTACATGTTTTTTCCCCTGCTTTCATATCCCACATACATTTGCCAGTGTTGTTGCTGCTGATCCTGCTAATCCTGCCTTCAGCCAGTTCTCATGACATTGAGAACAGTACGCAGCAGAAAGACGGTAAGCACAAACTGTCAGCAGAAATTTGGTAAATTATATGCTTATAATCAAATGTCTGACAGCAAATGTGATACAGAGGCTAATAATTTAATTTCATACTGTTTCAAATGGGTTTAAAAGTAAAAGGAATAGTGTGCCAAACAGACAACGCCCAAGCAGTATATACTTGTACACCTTTATTTGGAGCTGGGCCCAGCTCTTGGCTAAATTTACAGCCAAGAGCTGGGAATGGAAATGAAATTTCCATGGAATGGAAATCCCCCTCCAAGAAAAGAGCAGAAAAACAACCACTCCCTCCCTTCCCTCTTATATTGAGTTAGGTTCCCAACACATGTTGTCACAATCACATTTTAGGAAAAAAGTAAAATATTAAGGAAATATTATAATATTTTCTTAATAGTATAATAAGGAAACATATAGAAGTAAAATGATAATATATCATATTTATGTATTTTTTTTCCTATTGATGCTGTATAATGATGCTATTATACGGTGTATTTCAATAGCACCTGGTCATCAAGCAAAGTGATGCAAACGAAAGCAATTAATAAAAATCTCAAAAAATCTTTATATTGCTACCTTTATTCTGGTGTTTAATGATTTTTCCATCATTTTACTTTTTGTGTATCTGTATTTTAAAATTTCATGCATGTCCTTTTCCTTTTTATCCACTTTTATCCACATGAACAGATTCCAGTGGCATCCCTCCAACTGCAGTGAACGGACCGATGCTAACAAATCTGCCACTTCTAAGTGTTCGTAACTTTAGACAGAAGAGGCAAGTTCAGTCTTCCTCCGTTGTCCCTATCAAGGGCACTAACCTGATGTGGGTGACCTGGAAAAACTCTCTTCCAAGGAACGCTGTCTCACTTTACAATGGCTATACTAATCGAGTTGATTATATCTGTAAGTACAAGTGTGACGCTGGCTTTTATACGCCCAGCAAGGGTCGATATTGCTACTATCCTAGCGCAATAGAAAAGAGAAGTTTTCGATTTGAAATATTGGTTAACAAAGACGACTTTGAGATCCTGGAGTGGAAGGCTGATTCGTATGGTTCAGTACCGAAGAATTCAGTCTGGACCTGCCCAGGGGAGCAAATATATGTGGGCAAGAACAAATATGGACTGGGGAAGGTGTCCACTAAAGATAATGTTTTCTACTTGCCTTATGAGGATGAAGAATATTCATACAACAACTATGAGGTCCTGACCATCAGTGAAAATGTAATCAGCCAACTGATCTACAATGTCAGATACAACAATGATGATTCTAAAGTCTTCAAATTTCCTCCTGAGGTCATGAATGAAGCAACCATCAGCAACCATGAATGTCACCCAGTAGTGAAAACAGTGACACTCTCAAAGAGATATGAGGTGCAGCAGAGGTGGGACTTCGCCTTTTCTTTCAAGATTGGGGCTAAAACAACCATTAACACTGGCATTCCACTCCTTGTGGGAGGAGCTGTTGAAGTCAGCACAGAGGTGCAGTTTCAGTATACAGAGGGAGGCACTGTGACAGACAGTATGACTGACACTGCCTCTGTGGTGCTTACCGTGCCACCAAACCACTCCTGTAAATTTTCCACTGTTCGGCGCAAAGAAAAAGTTGATATCTCATTCACAGCACTCCTCAGGCGTACTTATGGTGATGGAAAGATCCACACAACGTCAATCACTGGGACATATGATAATATTCACAGTGGAAAAATCCAGGCTGTGGTCGATCGATGTGAACTTCTAGAAAAATTCAAGCCTTGTCCAGTCGAATCCAGTTCCACTGAACAGAAAAACGCTACAAACCACACAGAACACAACGGAAATAGGAAAAAACAAAACAGAAATAGGAAAAAACAAAACAGAAATAGGAAAAAACTGAGGCTATTGTCAGTTAATGTGAACGTCTTAGAAAACTCCAAACCTTGTCCAGTCGAATCCAGTTCCAGTATGTCTAATAATGTCAATCTTGTTTTTCTTCTCTTAACATCATTTTACCATTTTTGTTTGCTTTGAATCAGTTTGAGAGGAATGTGATTAGACAGAAATGCATGGAAAAGCTCTTTTTTATTATGGTTTTAGGGTCTTTACAATATAAATCGACTGCTGTTGTGAACTGGTGCTAAATTAAGACTAAAAGTCATTTAGAAAATGACCCATCCAATATTTTTTCTGCAAATAATTACATTAGTTTTGTTCAACTTTTATGGAAATTGTTCTAATTGTTTTAACTGTAAATATATATATATTTGCTTATATATTGTGAGATGATTATACTGTCATATGTTACATTTGTCCCGATTCGCGATTGAAGTGAGAGACAAACGACCACAGGTCCAAGTGCGTCAAAACAATGATTTTATTAAACACGCGTGTGGAGGAAATACACCGTCACAATCCTCAGCATAAATCCTCAAAAGAAAGCATACTCAGAATGTTTTATACGTCAGGGTATTATCACGCCCCTTCATGCGTCAAAGCAGATACATAACATGCATAAGTTACAATAACCACAACCTTTGACACATTCAAAAAGAACATTTTCTCCGTCTCGACGCCCGGTGCTTCCTGTTGATCTTCTTACTCTCGCTTATCTCCGGAACATCAGAAACACATCCTACAAAAAAACTGTCACTTATGCAGGTACAAAATGCAGTTACAAGCAAAATATGTCTGAACTCTTACCTAGAAATGAGTCTATATACTGTGTGTGTGTGTGCAGGCAAACTGTGTGTGTCTCGACGTCAGTGCACTCTGTCTCACCTCTCACCTCGCCAACTAAAGCTTATAACCTCTTACCAGACAGAAGGCCAACTCTTCTGTAAGCACATTTGCAATATGTGTAATAAAATAGCTGAAACTATATGTGTAATATATTGAATAAATGTTTTAATCAAATGCCACTACTCAAAGCTTAATAAAAAGGATATAAACGAATAAAAAAGATATGAATGAATAAACATAATATTAAAATGATATAATCCCCACACATTATACCTTTAATCAAAGAATGGTTGAGTCATTCATGTACTCTGCATGGTGCATCGTTTTGAAACTGTCCATATCTGCTCTTTTAACATGATTATTTCTTTTCAGACTAAATACCTCACAACTAAACAGTATCATGTTTTTTTGATCTGAGATTAGTTTACCAGGGTCAAATTTCTGATTGGGTAAAAATTAAGCCAACAACCAAGTGTCAAAAAACTGTAATGCCTCTATAGGCCGCTCAAGGCGGGTTCTAAAAACAAGTCAGGCCCTAAAGCCAAGGGGAAATTTCATGTTAAGGCTGTTGCACGCAATGGCGGTGCCATCTTACCCTCCAACCATACATACATTACACAAAACATCACATGGGGAAGACAGGTCAGAGAGGTATAACAATGGAAAAAGCACCACATGAGGAAAGATAAGGAGAAAAAAATAACTCCCCCCAGACTGAGCTCCAACAGGGAGATCAGTTTGAGAACAGAAAAAAACACCTCTGCACAAAGCACATGAAAAAACTCTTAATACACCAAAGAAACACATGACAAGCAACAGGGATGAGTAAAGGGTGAGAGACAGCCAATGTAGACAGTTCATCCAGGTCTGCAGCCTGTGCGCTGGTCTCCTTCATCCACCGTCAGCATCGGAGGGGAGTAAGCGTTGAAGGCGTTTGGAGGGGGAGGGGGGATGAGTGTATGTCTGCATGTGTATATATATGTCTGTGTGTGTGTCCAGAGTTCAGCTGAGACAGTGTCCTTCGCCCTGCCAGGCTAAGTAAACAGTCTTCCAGCCAACCCAGGTGGCCTTGCATAGAATGGGAAGAACAGTCTAAACACAGATGCTAATTTGGTGACAACTCAAGTCTGTGGGAATATGTAAGGAATGTTTTGTGATTGGACCCCTGTCTCATCTTAAAAAACTGACATTGTTGTTAAATTACAGTAGTTTTTAGTAAACATTTAACAGTTGGAGGTTTATCATTGAGCAGGAAGAAAGCAAATCAAAACGCTTTCTTATCACGACTGCTGCTGATGACTTTGTATTCAATAAGCTTAGAAAGTTAATAATGTGTCAGATAATATGCATTTTATGTGGAGCAATGTGTATTTCATCAGTCAGTTAAACCTTTGACGTAAATAAAATATTACAAGATAAATGAGTCTGAGTAGAATCAACAGGATGACTGCAGTAGCTGACATTAACAGGTTATCTGGACGTTACAAAGAGCAGCTGACCTGCATTTGCTCGCTTTTTCAAGACTTTGTTTAAATAAACTTGGTCACAACTAGGGATGGGTATCGAAACCCAGTTCTATCGATTCCAGTCGCCCCGAATGACGTCACCACGCTGCGGAGTGTCATTTACCTGGCAGGAAATGTCTAATGCTCAAAAGTTTGGTTATACTTTACGAGAACGGATGACAACTGGGCAACTTGCAATACTTGCAAAGTAGATATTTCATTTAAGGGAGGAACACTACGGATATGCAAAAGCATTTGCTCACAAAACACGCGATGACCTTAAATGAATGTCGTGTTTTTAATTCCTCGTGAATCTCAACCCAGCAGCAGCGGTAACGTTTGCACGTCCTCTCCCGTTAATGCGGCAGGTAAATAATCAACTAACAGTGCATATTATGTGCGATCTGCCTTATTACAAAACCTGCCATTACTGTGCATTTAGGTGACCATGATGAGAGAGACAGAGTCTGGCTCGGATGCTGGCAGTTTTCACTGCAGTCTACCGGTAGCGTCTCCTTTCAGGCCAGGATAGACGAATGTCACCCAGCAGTGACTGGAGAAGGTGAAGTTTGTGGTAAAAGGCTTGAACCCATTTGCCACAGCAGATGCCCCCGATATTCGGTAAGTGAATGTGTTTAATTGTAGGCAGGGACATTACTGGATATTCTTGTGTAATTGCTTCAGAATAATTTATGTTATACTTTGTTATTGCTACAGAAGAATATTTATTTTATTATTTTACATACACCCCATCGAAGAGCCGTAGGCTGTGGATCTCTTAAGATCTCACTGTTGGGTTTGTAAGGCCACGTTACTCCTAAATTTCTATCTTGTTCAAATAGAAGATATAAAACAAAGTTCTAAGCTAATCGACCTTAGTGTTCTCCTTTTTTAAGAATCGATAAAGAATCGAATCGTTAAACAGAATCGAAAATGGAATCGGAATCGTGAAAATCTTATCAATACCCATCCCTAGTCACAAGTTGACATCACAGATGTAAATGTCTTATTTTGGGCTTTTAATGATTTCTTTGAACTGCTCTTTCTCCAGGATGGAAAGATACAGGAGTCTAGGTAGAATCAGGAACCAAGCAGAGCAACACCAGTCTTGTCAGGTCCCAATTTAATGTTGCCTCCTCCAAGCTCCACCTTCCCTCTCAGAATGAACATAAACATTTCTTTGCACATCTGTGACGGATGTTCTAACATGTCGCTGTGTTGCGATCATGCGTCTTGCATGCTTCAGGTTAGTTGGAAAGTCCAGGATCAAAGGCACACTTCCGGTCACGGACAGGTGGGAACTTCGCGAGGTCAAAGGTCAAAGCCATCAATCAAACTCAAAGTGACACAAGGTGTACTGGAGAACTCTCTTTAATTACAGTGATAATGCCATAGAGCAGAGAAATGGTCAACAACAACAACTACTGTTCATTTCATTTTAAATTCCATTCCTTAAATGTCTGAAAAATGAAATGTCTTATAGACCAAAATATATCACATTAAAACCTTTTTAAAAGGATTACAGGATTTATAATAAACAGAAGTCCATCTTATATGTTCAAGATTTTATGTCTGAAATAAGACCACAGAAATAGAAAAACATCCAGTCTATTAATAAAGATGAAAGAGTAATCAGAAAACTTGAATATATTACCAGAATGATAAAACCAAGCCAGAAGCTCGATGTTTTTGTCTTTGTCTTTTTCTTTCTTTTTATTCACTGGTGAACTCTGATGCAACTGGGAGTCCTGGGAAATCGGCTAAAAGATCGATGCTGACAGACCAGTGTTAGGTAATAAATATATAATCTTAAATGCTTATATGCTGATTATATTGGTTTATATAAGAGAGGCCCAGACTTCAGTGTAAAACTAGGTTGCAGGCTGACAGGAAACGACATGCTTTTGCAAAAGCATGGCAACTGCAGTAAAAAGTGAAACCAACTAGGCTGTTTGATTGAAACTTAAAGTGTATGTGATGTCGAGAAGTACATAAATAACCTGGCTTCCTATTTTCTGCTTGAGACTGGCTGATGTGAGCAGGCGTTTCTGTGTGTGCTCAGTCTCCATATCTGGATATGTAAAATAAAGATCATTTTTAAAGTTAAAAGACCACTTTGAGCCCTGTGTCTTTCTTGGTCGTAAAGAATCCAAAAGAACCAGAATTTAATACCAGCCTCTTGTTAGTGTTACTAAGTTCAGACAGAGGAGGCCAGTTCATTCTTCTTCCTTTAAGACTACCATTGACTCCAACCTGGAGTGGATCACCTTTAAACTTACTCTTCCCAACCCTGCTGTCTCAATTTACAACAGATATTTTCATCACACTGATTATGTCTGCAAATATAAGTGTGACACAGGCTTTTATACCCCCAAATAGGGTACTTATTGTTTCTTTGCTCGGAAAAACAATTTCACAGAGGATTTCCCTTTGAGTTACTGGTCAACAGAGACAACTTTGAGATCCTGGAGTGGAAAGATAATTCATGTGGTAAGGTGTCCAAGAATTCTCGACCTGTCCAGGGGAGCAAATATATGTAGGAATGAACAAACATGGACTTCTTGGGAAGGTGTCCACTAAAGAAAAGGCCTTGCCCTGGAAGGGTAAAGTATATACGTACAAATCCTACAAGGTCCTGACCACAAATGAAAATATAGTCAGCCAACAGGTTGACGATGTCAGGTACAACATTGACAACGCTAAAATTCTCCAATATCCTCCTGAGGTCATGCGTCAAACCACCATCAGCAACTATGAATGTCAACCAGTAGTGAAAACAAGTTCCGTCTCAAAGACGTCTGAGGTGGAGCACAGGTGGGAAACTTATTCTTCTGTTTCAGTTACTGTTAGTACAAGCATTAAAACTGGTATCCCTATCCTCTTCGAAAACAAAATTGAGATCAGCACTGAGGTGTCGTTTGGACTGACTATAGGAACTACTGTGACAGAGAGCGTCACTGA